GGCGGGCCCCCCGCTGGGGGGCCCCCCACGACAGTATCGACCGCGAGAGGGCAGGTATAGAGCAACAAGCAATAATGCGGAGGGTGAGAGCCCTAACACAAAGGTAAAAATGAGTTTAATAGAGAAAATGCAAATTAAATTTCTAATTTAATATCTCCGAAGGTGAATTCTAACAGTTTCCCGCGCACATAACCGTCTGTTCCTCAGGCCGATAGTTCAGTTGGATAGAATGCCCGGCTACGGACCGGGTGGTCGTGGGTTCGAATCCTGCTCGGCCTACTTTTGGTTTTTCATCTGCCAGTTGGTTGATATTCTTCCAGTTTGTTTTTCTCTTTATAGGGGTTTTTAATGCTTTTTAGCGTAACTTGTGCTGCCGCGCTGCTGCAACTGTCGCGTTTCCGTACACTGGTAGCTCAGACAGGGTAACCCGATTGTGTTGCATTTTAGCGGCATAGATCATATCAGAGGCGACTGTCTGAATACAAAAACGCATAAATGAATTTAATCAGAAGACAAACGCAAAAGTAGGCCGAGCAGGATTCGAACCCACGACCACCCGGTCCGTAGCCGGGCATTCTATCCAACTGAACTATCGGCCTGAGGAACAGACGGTTATGTGCGCGGGAAACTGTTAGAATTCACCTTCGGAGATATTAAATTAGAAATTTAATTTGCATTTTCTCTATTAAACTCATTTTTACCTTTGTGTTAGGGCTCTCACCCTCCGCATTATTGCTTGTTGCTCTATACCTGCCCTCTCGCGGTCGATACTGTCGTGGGGGGCCCCCCAGCGGGGGGCCCGCCAGTGTTGAGAGGCCCTTTGAGAAGCTGTGTACTGGAAATTTGGTTAAATAAATATACTTCATGCTGGTCAAAATGGATTTCACAACATCTTTGGGAAGTTAAGAACGTCTTGCCTGACTCTATCGGGGCCCCTCCGATGGCGAGGGGCCCTCTGGAGACCCGTTCATCTTCTCGTTATGTTTCTCTCCTCAGCTAACTGCTGTATATCTTTGACAGACTCACTTCAGGAGATAAAAGGCCCTCACTTAGATGCAGCTGCTCAGCGGGGGCCCCACAAGGGCCCTCCGCTGCGTCCAGCTGCTGTGCCTTCGTCGTCTGTGCAGCTCTGAACTACCAGCTCAACAAGCAGCAGCAACAACAGCAGCAGCAATAGTAAAGACAGGGCAGTTTCCGTCGGCTCCTAGCTTACGTGCTCTTCCACCGCGGAAGCCATTCCCTCTCCAGCAACTGCAGCAACAGCAACAGCTGCACAAGTTGCTGCTGCAACGGCAGCAACAGGCGCCCGTGCCGGCAGAGGCAGCCGCACCCCTTCACACTGCTGCAGCAACCCACGTTTCGTCTCATCCTGAGGGCCCCCCGGGGGCCCCTCTTGGGGGCATCAGCACTGACAGCCCAGTTGATATACCGCCTTACATTCAACGGCTTTCTCTGGGCCAGTGGACTCTCTATTTCTATCCCGTTCCTCAGTACCTCAAATCTGTTGATGGGAGCCCCTCGGGGGCCCCCCAGGAAGGCCCAAACGCCTGGAATGGGGCCCTGCTCGTTGCGGCGCTGCAGCCGCAGCTGTTGTGTGTGGAATGCTGCAACAGCAGACTGCAGCAGCTAGCAGTAGCAGCAGCAAATGCAGCAGCAGCAGCAGAAGGGGGGTCTTTAGAGGAAGAAGTCCGGAAACAGCAACGGCGACTCGCCAAAGGCTTTTCCCTCCTCACCTCTTTCGACGGCGGTACCAAACCCGAAACCCTAAACCCTAAACCCTAAACCCTACACCCTAAATAAACACCCCCAAGGATAGAAAGATCAGTTGTGCATTGCTTTGTCTCCTGTTTGACGCTTTAACCGCTAAATCCTAAAATGGCTTCAGGGGGCCCCCAAAAATATTGTGCTGACTGCAATAACGCTGCATTGGGGGCCCCCTATCTTTTTGCGTTTTTGTTTTAAGGGCCTGTAATCTTTTCATCTCTTTGTCTTAATAACCCACTTTTTGTTTTGTTTTGATGTTCAGGGCTTCTGCACGCCGCACTGCTGCCAATTATTGTCGCTGCTTCGGGTTTACGAGGCCGTGTTTGGCTGTCTGACTCATCAAGCCCTTCGGCGGAGGCCCTCCTAGGCACCTCTAGGGGGCCCCCTACCTATGGAGGGCCCCCCTCCTCGGGGGCCCCTGCTCTTCCTGCTGTGTACCCTATAGATAGGGATCGAGTTTGTACTGCACGCAGACTCCACGAATGTTTGCTGCTGCAGCCGACACAAATGCGAGCACTAAGGAGGTGCGTGCTGCATTCTCTTTCCCAGCGTTGGGCGTGGGGGCCTCCCAGCCCTGCTGTGGTGGGGCCCCTAGGGGGCCTCGTGGGGGCCCCCTGGGAGGTTCCCGGTGGCCTCCACGCGGGACTTTCCACCCCAAACAAGGGCCCCCCCCAAGGGGCCCCCCCTTCATGGGGGGCCCTGAAGTGGGCGCAGCAGCAGAAAGAGCTCTTCCCTTCAGGGTACCAAGTGCTGCTTGAGGAGAGGGCCTCCTGTGCAGCTGCTAACATATGGAATGCCATGCAAGATGCAGAAGAAAGACTAAACGCAATGGGGCCCCAAGGGGGCCCCTCTGCTCCAGGGGCCCCCGTAGTAGGGGCCCCCAGACAGGAAGAGACACATGATATGCAGGGACACCCAGAGGAGCCCCGCACAGGTCTTATATTTTGCTCAACAGCGCTGCTGCCGCTGGTAATAGAGTCTCTGCAGCAGCTGCATGCGCTGGAGGCCCCAAAAGCAGCAGCCGTGGCAGCAGCAGCTGCTGCTACTGGGGAGCAGGGACCTCGCTATCGCACGAATCTTTATGCTGCGCTGCACCGCTCGCCTCCTTGTCTGGTGCCTCTGCTGCTGCTTCGTTTCCTGCTGCTGCCTGTTGCTGCTGCGTACGGTATTGCTGCTGCTGCTGCAGCCTTTTCCTCCTGGGCCCATTCCAGTCTCCACCGGGGGGACCCCCCTGCTGCAATAGCGGGGGAACTGCATGTACCCATCAACGGGGACCCCACACGGGGGCCCCACAGGGGGGCTTCCGAATGGGAGCCCTTCAGAGGGGCCCCAGAATGGGGGGCGAGCCCTTCACACAGCTGAAGGCAGCCTCAACCAGGGGCCCCCTCAAAGGGGGCCCTCGTGAGAATTCGCCACAGGGACTAAGGTGGTTTTCTTAGAGACCGTAATGCAGAGGGCTGCATGCAGTTGCAGTTGCTGCTGTACCTTTGCTGCTGCTGCTGCTGCTGCTGCGCATCACAGCAGCAGCAGGTTTAAGGTTAGGGATTAACAAACAAAACACAGCATCAACAGCGCCTGCTGTTTGCCTGCATGCAGCAAACAGCTGCAGCTGCCTTTTGTTTGTTATTAGTGTAGTTGTAGCCACTAGGCTTCTCTTGCATTCTATAATATAAAAGCAAGTACTTTAAACAAGAGCAGCCTCCTGCTGCCCCTTAAAAACCAAACAATAAGGGCCTGAATAACCCGCAAAGGGGGGCCCCCTTGGGGCCCCCCTGTTGGTGTTTTTGATTTCGTTTGCGCACTCAAGGGGCCCTTAAAGGGCCCCTTGGAGGATTCCGTCTTATGAGCCGATATCAAGAGACAGCTGTTACTGCTGCTGCTGCTGCAGCTCCAGCTGCAGCACTCAGTCTTCCCCGTTCGTGTCTGGTGGGTAGTTGTCTCTACTTGTCCGCTTATTGCTGCTGCAGCAGCAGCGAAAAGACAGAGAGACACAGGAGGAGGCAGCTGAGGGTGAGGAGACACCTCAGCCGGATACCCGATGGAGGCTCATGAGTTTCTTTTCGTGTTGATAGAGCTCCTCGACCTGTTGTGGGGTCATGGGGTGTCTGTACACCTGAAAGTTGTACAGGGCCCCAAAAGGCATTCTGCATTCTCCTGTGTCTCCCTCTTCTTCCTCGCTGCTGCTGTCGCTCCCGCTGCTGCTGCTGCTGCTGCTGCTGCTGGGTTTGCGTGTGTTTGCGTTCTTATGAATGCTTTTATAGGGTCTACGGTTTGCGTTGCCTACGACGGCTAAGGGCCCCTTGCAGCTTGCAGGCGCAGCTCCCTTATGCTGGCCGTCTAGATAAAAGAAAGTACTTTTATCTGAGCATACTGCAACTAAGTGATGCCAGCCGTTCTCTAGCAGCTTTAAAGAGACACCCGAAGGCACAAAGGGCCCAAACCCCGACAAAGACGAACGACAAATGCGAGAAGCTGCACGTACCCGAGGACGAGCTATCACTCCTGCAGCCCCAGGTGTACAGACAGACAAACACACACACACACACACACATATATATATATATACGTAGTTGCATACACGTTAATACATATACATTATATATATACACCTTTATTAGCATAGGCATGAGTAGAGCAACAAAATCAAAAGGCAGGAGACTGATGCAGCACATGCGAGCAGGAAGAAAAACAGATTAACAAACCCAGTTGGAGACAGATACGAGATACGCGCAGAGATGCACACGGAGACTCCCAAAGAGAGACACAGCAAATACATCACAGCAGCAGCAGCAAATACACCGCTAAAAGTCAAACAGCAAAAGCAAACGGCACAACACCGCAGCAGACAGAGCACAAACAAAGAGATGCAAGACACCACTACAGATACCGTTTGGTAGTGCATGCACAAGAGAGGAGAGATATACAAATCCCCCTTCCGGGATGCAATCCAATGCATGCAGCAACACCTGCATGCATTCATCTGCATGCAGATTGGTGTATGGCTACTAATGCATAGATAGGCGTATGCACGTATTGTGTGGGTCTGCACGCATGCGCGTGTTGTGTGGGGCTGCATGCATGCACGTGCCGTGTGTGGGTGCATGCATGCAGTCCTGGATGCATGCATGCAAGGGCGGTTTACCTAGGGTGTTTCCCTGTGCATCTGTTGCTACGAAGGCGTTGCCTGCGCCGTCTCCTGCGAGTGCGTGTGGGGCCCCAGTGAGTTTGAGGGGGAGACGAATCCAGGAGACAATAGTAAAGCCACTGGGGTTGAGCCGCATGGGGGGTACCACATGCAAACTTGCTCTCTTGTCTCTGTTTTCTTCCTCACTGTCTCCCTCTTTGTCTTTGTCTTTGTCTTTGTCTTTGTCTTTGTCTTTGTCTTTGTCCCCATCTCTATCTGTAGCACTACTTCTACCTCTGTCTCTATATCTATCTCTGTCTCCATCCATGTCTTGTGTTAGCGGGCGGCTGCTTGCAGCGGTGTCGCATGCAGCAAGCTGCCCATCGGGGGCCTGTACGTAGCGCCCCAGCCCCACAACAACGAGCTCATGTTTTTTTGCTGCAGCAGCAGGAAGCAGATCTACGTATTCCCCATCCGACTGTATGCGCAGCTGCAGCTCGGGGGGCTTCCCTGCTGCACCTTCCCCTACTTTAGAGGGATCCAGAGACAGGTCGTCGCTGCTGCTGCTTCTGCTTTTGCTGCTGCTGCTGCTGCTGCTGCTGCTGCTGTGCAGACCAGCCGCACGGGGACCTGCGTATGAAGACCTTGCTGCTGTCAAGGCAAAACGAAGCGGATAAGCTGCAGCACACCAAACCACCCCGGCTCACTGTCCCTCAGCAGCAGCAGTAGCAGCGACAGCAGCAACAGCAACACCAGAGGTAGCAGCAACAGCATAGCAGCACTAACAAAATAACAGCAGCACCACTATAGCAGCAGCAACACTACGGCAGCAACAACAATAACAGTAGCAACGAGAGCTTTGCAGCATTCGCCGCTGCTGTTCTCGCCCCCCACACCCTATACCCAACCCCCAAACCCTAATAAACCCCAATAAACCCCAATAAACCCTAATAAACCCCAATAAACCCTAATAAACCCTATTAAAACCCTAATAAACCCTATTAAACCCTAATAAATTCCAATAAACCCTAATAAACCCTAATAAACCCTAATAAACCCCGATAAACCCTGCTAAACCGTAGAACGCCCAAGAAAACCTTTACCAACTCTTATAAACCCTGATAAAGCAAAATAGACCTTAATAAAGCCTAATAAACCCTGACGAACCCTTATGAACCCCAATAAACCCTAATAAACCCTGATAAACTCCAGTAAAGTCTGTGGGTCTTGCCTGTGTAGTCTAGGTAGACCTCGTGGGGGGTGAAGGGCCTGTCATAAACCCTTAGATGTGCGAACGAGCCGAAAGGTTTGTTGCCTGTTAATGAATTGCCGATGTACTTAATGGGGTCCCACGAAGCCCTGGGAATAAGGCCCCTGGGGACTCCGTCTAAATAGAAGGCTGCAGTACCCCCAGCGTCTTCTCCAGCTCCTGCTGCTCTTGCTGCTGCTGCTGCTGCTCTTACTGCTGCTGCTGCTGCAGGCGAGGTTCCTGCCGCTGCTAGTTCTGCTGCAGAATCAACAGGCGTCGCTGCAGCCACCACATGCAGCAAATGCCAGCCCTCACTCTCGCCCACCAAACTTAGACCCGAAGGAAACAATTCACGTGCGATGCCGTCAGAGCACACAGACCACTGGTCATCGTCAGCAGAAGCAGCAGCAGCAGCTGCTGCTGCTGCCGCTTCTGCGGCTTCTGCAGATGCGGGGTCAGCCTCTTGTTGTAAAGCAGCAGCAGCAGCAGCAGAGGCTGCTGCTGCTGCGGATGCTGCTACAGCAGCTACAGAAGGGATTGGAGGCAGCAGCAGCGCCCCCACAGAGCCGTCTTCATCTGAAATGCAAATATGTGTCTCTGCATCGCCACTGATGAGGGCATGAAGGGCCCCCGTCTTGGGAATTGGGGTGTATATCCAGACAGCCAAGGTGTAGCCTGCTGCAGCAGACAGCTCCCGCCGCAACAGGACCTGCGGCTGCAGCAGCAGCAGGCTTTCATTCCTCGTGCTGCCACCAACAGCAGCAGCAGTAGAAGGGAAGCAACCGTAGACAAATCTCACTCCGTGTACACCCGAAGAGGGACACTTCTTCATCTGACGACCAGGAAGAGACAGATAATATACCACTGCTGAATACGCTTCAGGTGTACAGACACCGAATACATGTCGCGGTCGCCGGGGATCTGCCACCACAAAACTCATATCCAGCAGCATATCCAATTCTATGCGACCTGCTGCTGCTGCTGCTGCTGCTTCTGGGCTTGTTGCAGGAGCTGCAGCAGCAGTATTCGCTGCATCTACTAGAGCAGCAAAACCATCTCCCAGTTTGTCGCTGTTACGCAGGGCAGACAACTCCAGGTAACGAGATGCTGCTGTTGACTGATCCAAAGCAAGACACAGGACCTGAAGCAGCAGCAGCAGCGGCAACAGCAGCACAAGTATAGCTGCTAAGACAGACGAAATATTCCCTACCAGCGTTGGCTCCCCCATTCCTGCACTCGGGTCTAGGCTATGCGTGAGGGTTTAGGGTTTGCCCTACAGTTTAGGGTTACTCTCGGGTTGGTGGTGTGCGTTAGAATTTGTGGTTTGCATTGGGGTTTGTGGTTTGCATTAGGGTTTAGACTTAGCACTAGGGTTTCTGGTTTGCATTAGGGTTTGTGGTTTGCCTTAGGGTTTAGGGTTTCCACTAGAGTTTAGAGCTTGCGTTGGGTTGTAGGGTTTGCGTTAGGATTCAGATTGTGTATTGGGGTTTAGGGTGTGTGTTAAGGTCTAGGGTTTGCATTAGGATTTAGGGTTTGCGTGAGGGTTTAGGGTTTGCATAAGGGTTTGGGGTGTACGCTGAAGTCTGCGATGACAGCGGAGGGTTTGCCGCCCTGCATTTGGTTGCCAATTGCAGCCATTTCTGTGAACATGTTTGCGAAGTCTCTGACGATGGTTCCGAGACGAACACCATTTAAAAAGAAAGTTATTTCATCTCCTCTTCGTACTGCATGCAGCAGATGGAAGTCTGGTGTATGTACAGCTGACTGCAAGTGCTGCTTCTCCTTCTCTGCTCCTTTTCTGCTCAAACACGAGATAAACCCGTTCTTATACACAGGCCCAACTCCGCGTTTCTTCTTCTTCCGCTTGCTGCTGCTGTTGCTGTTGCCGCTGTCGCTGCTGTCGCTGCTGTCGCTGTTCTCGCTGCTGCTGGAGCCTGTTGCTGCAGTTGCATCTGTAGGTATGAGTATGCCTACGTCGGCGAAGTAAACGGATTCCCCTTGCTGCTGCTGCTGCTTTCTGCGCAACTGCTTCTGAACGATGCAGAGCAGCACATTACCTTCGGCGTCTGAGCACAACGCGGTGTATCTGCAGGTTAGGGGTAGCGGCAGCTGTACAAACACCTCAACAGTAAACGAAGACTGCAGCGGCATCGCCGGCTGCAGCAGCAGCTTGCAGTTGCTGTGGCTGCTGAAATCCAGAGCAGTCAAATCACCTGTGGGGCCCACAGCACTGCGAGGCGCCCCTGCACAGCGCAGCGCCCACACCACGGCTAGCTAGCAGCCTGAGTAGCTAGCTACCAGTTAGCTAGCCGTCAGCTGGCTAGCTGCCAGCTAGCTACTCACACAAACCGCTTGCCACCCATCTACAACCCCCGCTACCTCAGCAACAACCCCCAGCTAGCCAGCACCCTTCCATCGCCACTGGCCAGCTAGCTGCAGTGGCCTACAGAGGGTTTCTAAGGTGCTACTAGCTAGCTACTAGCTAGCTGATGGCTAGCTGCTAAGTAGCTGCTGGCTAGCTACTAGCTAGAAGCTGGCTACCTAGTAGTCGCTGTACACACATCCAAGATACCAGACGGCAGCGCCTCTACTGATGGCGGCCAAGAGGAGATATTCAGGGTTTAGGGTTTAGGGTTTACCGATGACGAGGACATCCCGCTGAAGCACCTTTAATCGCATGCCCAGCACTTCAAGCTTGAGGGCGTGCATGGCGGCCAGGCTGTCTCTGTGGGCCTTTGTAGTGTACTGTTCCAGCTGCAGCATCGGCGGTTGCTGCTGCTGCTGCGCCTGCAGCTGCAGCAGCTGCTGCTCTGCTGCTGCTGAGATGACCTCCCCAGTCGCGGGGTTTACAACCGGAAGAGCCAGAGGAAAAACAAAAAGAAAGTCTTTTCGTAACTCCATTGCCCTTTCTATGCGGCGCTTCTGCTGCAGCGCTTCCGGCTCAGCAGCAGCAAAATCAAACAGCGCAGCAGCAGCACTAAACTCTGCTGCAGCAGCAGGCTTCGCAGGCACCGCTGCCCCCGCTGTCCCTGCACAAACAACGCCCATCAGCGCCAAGCCACAGCAGCACATTGAACCGCAGCAGCAGACTGCAGCAAGCTGCAGCAGCAGCAGCAACTGGAAGCAGCAGAATGCAGCAAAGCACGAGCAACAAGGAGACACAGAGGAGGAGACAGAAATATGCAAAGGGGACACCAAAGACGCAACTGAGCAAAGAGAGACAAACAGCAGCAGCAACGGAAGAAGACAGAGGCGAAGAGACAGAGATGCGGAGACAGCGAAATACAACAAAATATCAGATAATGCATAGCACTTCAATACACCAACTAATGATGCACACCCTAATGGGGTGTACAGACACGTGTAATTACATTCAACGGGAGACAGTAGCACATCACATCACTATTGCCGTGGCTGCTGCTGCTGCTGTTGCTGCTACTGTTGCTGCAGCTGCTAGGCTTACGGGCTATGTCCTTGAGCTGTTCTGTTAGTTCTTCCCTTCTCTTCTCTTCCTCCTCTTCATAGCCCTTCAGACATCGAAAGCGAAAAGCCAAACTACCCAAAATCACATATATGAAAACCCTAAACCCTAAACCCTAAACCCTAAACCCTAACGACCATGTGGTACCGCTACGTTGTACGAAATACGCTAGAGCAGTTTGGCTGCTGAGGCAGTCATAAGTGGGCGGCGTGTCAATGAAGAGTCTGGAGGAACCCAGGGTTTAGGGTTTAGGGTTTAGGGTTTCGCACTTCAATGAGTCGGCCTTCCTCGTCGAGGCCGCTTGCAAGGAACCGTGTGCGCGGCAGTTCTCTGGCCACTGCAGCAGGGCACCCGAAAGAAGCAAATAGCAAACCCTAAACCCTAAACCCTAAACCCCAAGCCCAAGAGCCCATACAAAGCAGCAAATCCGTCAGCAGAGACCAGAAAACCACATATGTAGTATATACATATTATTCATTATATACGGTATTTATATATTAGGTGTACAATATATATATATATATATATATAGGCACACACGTAACTGCGCTATAAACGGTACACAGACACAAACACTAAAAGACACTCAGCCATCCAAACCAAACAGAGAAAGTAATCAACCAGCCGAAGCCCTGCCGCAGCAGCAGCAGCAGCAGAAGAAGCAGCAGCAGAAACCGCAGCAGCAGCAGGAGCCGACGCAGCAGTAGCAGAAGCAGGACAGACCCTCGAAGTCGAAATCCGAGATGTCTAACAGGCCGCAGTGCAACACCATTCGAACAGCTTCCTGAGCAACACAAACCCTAAACCCTAAACCCTAAGCCCTAAGCCCTAAGCCCTAAACCCTAGGTCTACGCCATAAGCATTATGGCGTGTGAAAGAACCCCAAACAGCTCGCCGGAAAACCCTAAACCCAGGCTGATGAGAGGCAGCTACGTAAAAGCCCTAAACCCTAAACCCTAAACCCTTTCCAGGGTAAACTGGAGGGTTTGGTGTTGAGCTATGCAGCAAGCAGCAGTAAGAAAGGACCAGCTTGGGGTCCCGAAGAGGAGGGTTTAGGGTTTAGGGTTTGCGTTACCTGAGGGAGTAGGGTTTTGATGTCTTCGTCTGCAGGGTGTTTGGGGTCTAAGCTTGGGACTTTTGCTTTTTCTTCTGCTGCTTGAATTTCTCTGTCTTTGATTGTCTTCGTTTGACAGAGACAAAGAGTGGGGTCTTGCAAAGAAGGATAGCGCAGCAGCCCCAAACGCCACCCCATTATATATGTCTCCTTTAACTCAGACGCAGGCTGTCTCTCGCAGTGCTTGTGCAGCTCCTGCCGAAGCCGCAGCAGACCTTCGCATGCAGCTGCTACCTGCACCAGAAGCGCAAACATCCACACCAACAGCAATAGCAACAGCAGCAGCAGCAGCAGCAGCAAACACCGAAATTCAGCAACAGCACGCTCTGGCCAAAGCCCAACCCGCGCCCCTGCTCTGCATGCAGCAGCAGCAGCAAGCTCAGAACCACCAGACACCGGCAGAAGCAGCAACCATACACAAAGGCCGAACCCTGTGCAGCAGCAGCAGCAGCAGCAGCAGCAGCGCCAGCAAAGCAGCCGAACTGTCAAATACGACCTAAACCCTAAACCCTAAACCCTAAACCCTGACCTCATTCGGGTCGAATCCGTCTTTCTTAAGGATCTTGAAGGCCTCCATTGCGTCTATGGTGGGGAAATTCTCCACGAGCGTTAAATGCAACAGCGCCGCCAGGGCCTTTGCACAAAACCCTTAACCCTAAACCCTAAAGCCTAAACCCTAACGAGCTAACGCTAAACCCTAAATCCTCAGTCTAAAGCCGTAAGGGCAGCCCTCGCCTAATGCTTACAAGGAGCTAAGGGATGCCAGGGGTTTAGGGTTTGTGGTTTACTCTTGGTTTGCTCTTGACCTTCTTGACGGCGGATATGAGGGTTTCCTTGACGTCGGGTGTAGCACTAGGCAGTAGCATGAGACGCGTGAGGTGTCTGTACACCTCGCCCTCTTGCAGCTGCGCTCTGTTTAGTTGTGCTGCTAATCTGTGGAGATCCAGCTGAGGGTTTCGTAGACCCAGACGCCAATGACGTCGGCTCAGGTCCTCTTTGCCTTCCTTCTCTGCCTCCTCCAACCTGAAGCAGCAGCAGCAACAGCAACAGCAACAGCAGCAGCAGAGGCAGCAGAAGCACAAGCCGCAGAGCGGAGTCTTATTGTGCAGCAGCTGCAACGACCAAACAAACAACCTGTGGTACTGCCGCTGCAGCAGCAGCAACCGAGGCAGCAGCAGCAGCAACAGCAGCCAGCACGCCATAGACACAACCGCCAAAAGCACCGGCAGCAGCACCTCATTTATAGGCAAAATATACAAACGCCGTAGCAGCAGCAGCAGCAACTGCAGCAGCAGCAGACGCGGGGACAGAGCCACATCATTATTATAACCATCCGCAGCAGCAGCCTTTTTTGCCGCATTAGTATGCTCAGTCACAGCAGCAAGTGCAGCAGCAGCTACAGCAGCAGCGACAGCAGCGGCAGCAGCAGCAACAGCTGCAACCGTTGCAGCAGCAACAGGAGCAGCAGCCGCAGCAGTAGGAGTGTACGCCGCACTTGAGGTTGCCCTTGAGTTCATGCATCTCTACAAGCTCCTCCATATCGGGGGAGCGAAAGGCCTCTAAACGCGTCTTTGCAAAACGAAAGAAATCCACAAACTGACGAACTGCTTTGAAGCGATGTCGCAGACGACGCACAACCCTGCACACACGCAAACCCTAAACCCTAAACCCTAAACCCTCAACCTTAAACCGTAGACCTTGAAACGCTGCTTGCGAAAAAGCAAATGCGAATCCGCTGGCAAGCATGGAGAATTCAACAGCAGCAGAAAAGATACACACCAAACCCTAAACCCTAAACCCTAAACCCTAGTTCCCTAACCCTAGACCCTAGAGGGAGTGTAATGGGTACGGTAGGGCTCGTATCGATTCCTCTAAACCCTAAACCCTCAGGCCTTATCGCGGCCTGCTGTTTGTTGCGCATGCCACTAACTACAAAAATGAGGGTTTAGGGTTTCGCTATAGAGAGGTTTAATTAAACCCTTATAATTATAACTGGCAGCAAAGATAAAATAATCAAGACATCTATCTCCTGCTGGCTTTCTTTGTATAAACACAAGAAACACAAAAGTAGGCCGAGCAGGATTCGAACCCACGACCACCCGGTCCGTAGCCGGGCATTCTATCCAACTGAACTATCGGCCTAAGGTCACCTACAAACCGTAAACCCTAAACCCTAAACCCTAAATCCTAAACCCTAAAACCGAATTAATACACCGACAAACCCAGGGGCACTTACCCCGTTGTAATCAGCACGACGGTGACGTGCAGAAAAATCAACAGAATAACTGAAACGACAGAAATCCAGCCAATGACCTGCAAAGCAAGCCCACACCAAAAACCCTAAACCCTAAACCCTAAACCCTAAACACTAAATATTTCAGCATACCCTCATGGGTCATCTGAAGGTCAGCCGGAGGTTCGGGTGTACGGACAATTCTGCCTGCTTCCGTTGGGAGGGAGTCGTTGTAGAAGGCCGTACACATCAGCAGCAGCGCAACACCTAATGATGACCTGCAGCAGCAGCAGCAGCAGCTGCAATGACGGCGGCTGATGTAGAGACAGGCTACCAGAGAATGTGCAAGAGAAGAAACGAAAGGAGGGCAAATGCAGCAGCAGCAGCAGCAACAGCAGCAGCAGCAAGAGCAGCAACAGGGAAGGCATTCTTACCTCGCTGAGCGCGACGCAATTACGTTTTTCTTTTTAACATAGACCGGCAGACTGCAGCAGCAACACCAACAGCAGCAGCAACACGAACAGCAACACTGTCGATCCAGAGGAACAGCCCGCGAGGCCCCGCCCCTGCGAGCCACTGGGCTGTCTATGTGGCTCGTAGGTGCGCAGCAGCAAGAAGGGCAAGAGATGCTGCAGCCCATAGAAAGTCGACAGCTAGCTAGCTAGCTGTCGAGATAGCTAGCTGCAAGGTTCCCTGGGCCTCAACACCGCGACGCGGAGAGTGAGGACGAAGCAGCAGCAAGCAGCCGCTGCTCCGCGGGCAGCTAGCTGCACCACCCGATCCACAGCAGCAGCCACTGCAACTGCAGCAGCAGCAGCAACTGTAGCAGCAGCAGCAGCAGGAAGAGGAGCAGGTGGGTCTGACCTTAGATGTGATGTAACGTATATAACGGTGAGGTTGAGGACAGCGAGGGCCTGAATGTTGGAGGTAAGGTTTGGAGTTAGGCTGTGTGCAACAAAACCTTCGGGGCCTTCTTTAGTCTCTAAAGAGAAAGAAGAAGAAATAGAATAAGCAACGGCTAGCTGAATCAGGTGTACAGACATCTGCTGGTAAAAATACCACCAAAAATATTGCTCTGTAAACCCAGACAAAAACCAACCCGCCGTCAGCGGACACCTGAACAACACAAAACAACATATATGCATGCATGCATGCATGCATGCATGCATGCATATATACATGCGTGGGGTGGTGGATGCCTTGCTGCAATGTGCTGCAGCAGCAACGCATGTGCTGCTGCTGCAGCAACACAAGCATGCACGCATGCATGCATGCATGCATGCCTTGCGGCAGCGTGCTGCAGCAGCAACAGATGCATGCATGTAGAAAATTGTTTCTTTAGTTTGTCTTTGTTTCTCACTCTTCAATAACTGGTCTCCCGCTTCTCCTAAGCCAAAATAAAATGCCTATTTCTGTTAAAGGCAGCAGCACAAGCCACAAAATTAGCATGCAAATCACAAACTGCTGCCCCCCAAGCATCGAAGGAGTAACAGATTGGTCCAGCAGCAAATAACGATATTCGGGGTGCTGCTGCAGCGCATCTCTCGTGCAGCAGCTCCACAGCAGCATTCTGCAGCAAACAGAAAACCCATACAAGCAGCAGCAGCAACAGAAACAATAACAAAAAACAGATATACATCAGCAACAGCAATACGAATGCTGCACCAAGGACCACTGCTGCAGCAAGTGCTGCTGCTGTGCGTGCTGCTGCAGCAAGTGCTGCAGCAAATACTGCTGCAGCTGCTGATGCAAGGACTGCTGCAGCAGCCAATGCTGGCCCATAGTCAGCAGAAGACCTTGCCCTTCTAGCTCGTCAACGACAGCAGCAACAGCAGCACCAACAGCAACAGCAACAGCAGCAGCAACAGCAGCACCAACAGCAACAGCAGCAGCAACAGCAGCAACAGCAGCAGCAGACTGACTGCGCAATAGGGACGATAAGGAGATGATGCAGCACAGCCCAGGCTCCCAGAATCCACTGACTCTTTCTCCATCTGGCCCCTTTCTTTTCTGCTGCTGCAGCTGCTGCTTCAGCAGCAGCTGCTGCTGCTGCTTTTGCTCGCTCCTCTATGTCCTCAATCACAGATGCAACAGCAGCAACAGACTCCTCGCTCTTTGATGATACACTCGCTGCTTTCTGTGTTACTCTTATTCCAGGGTGTTGCTGCTGCCTTGCGAGAAGCTGCTGCTGCTGCTGTGGCTGCTGCTGCAGCACTGGGGGCTGCGCCTGAGCCTGCTGCTGCTGCGGTGGATTCTGCTGCTGCTGTCCGGTATTCGAGCGGCCTGTAGTTTGATGGCCCACACCGCTTGCTGCTGCTGCTGCAGTACTAGCAGCAGGTGGAGCAGCATGAAGCGGGGCACGCGTGAACTGAGGCGGTGCTGCTGTTTGCTGCTGCTGCAGCAACTGCTGCTGTTGCTGCTGCGTCATTTCGGACCTCTCTCTGTCCTCTGCTGCTGATTCTGGTTGTATGCGAGTAAGCTGTACTCCCGATCCTGCTGCTGCTGCTGCTGCTGCTGCAGCTGCTGCTGCTGGTACTGCTCCTGCCGCTGCTCCTTGTTTTGCACCTGCTGCTGCTCCTGATGCTCTTGTGGCTGCTGGTGCTGGTGCTGGTGCTGGTGCTGCTGCCGGTGCTGCTGCTGCTGCTGGTGCTGCTGCTGCTGGTGCCGCTGCTGCTTCTTGTGCAGTGAACCGACGGGGGGGCTGCGCCAGGAGCCGCTCGCGCTCCTTCACAATTGCCGCAGCTGCGGCGCAAACCCTAAACCCTAAACCCTAAACCCTAAACCCTAAAACCTAAACTCTAAACTCCAGGCCCTAAAACCTACACCCTAAATCCTAAACCCTAAACCCTAAACCCTAAACCCCCAGGCGAAACTCTTAAAGGCGTGAAGCTTATTCCCTAATTCATAGGCGGCCAGGCAGTTGCGCGGATTCTATGAGGGGCCTCCAGAGCAGGGTTTAGGTTTTAGGGTTTAGGGTTTGCGCACCGATATCTTCTGCTTCGTTTCTAGCAGAAATGTAGAGGTCTGTGTTGAGGGCGAGCTTTTCTGCTGCTCTTTGATATTTTGCTGCTGCTTGTTCGTGCAGAGCATGCAAACAAATCCCCAGCAGCGCAGCCACTGGCAGCAGCAGCAGCGGGAAAAAAGCAGCAATCATCATCTGCAGCCAAGCAGCAGAAGTCCAGCTCTTGCGCTGCAGAGACACACAAACAGACACAGCCCTGCTGCGGCTGCTGCTGCTAAAGAGAAAATATATGCGAGAAGCAGCAGCAACAGGAAGCAGAGAAGGAGACAGCAAACAGCAGCGGGGAGAGACTGAGCAGATGCAGCTGAAGCAGCAGCAACAGCAACAGCAACAGCAGCAGCAGCTGCTGCAGCAGCAGCAACAGCAGCAGCAAAATTGACTCACCCCATCTAGGCACTGCAGCACCTGCGTCAGCGGCAAGCCAAACGAGAAAACCCCCAAGAGCGTCCAGGGCATGGAGGAGACACCGCGCAGCAGGGGACTACAAACAGCAGCAGCAGCAGCAGCAGCAATAACAACAACAGCAGCAGATGCAGCAGCAAACGCGCACAGGAAACAGCAAGTCCGCCAGCAGCAGGTGCAGCAGCAACGGCGGATGCAGCAGCAGCAGAAAATGCAGCAGCAACAATTGCATAGGCCCTCCACAATCATGCGGAAATGTTTCTTATGCCCTCGACTGCAAACCCTAAACCCTAAACCCTAAACCCTAAACCCTAAACCCTAATGCTTACGTGAGGTTGGATGCAATTTGCCAGAAGAAGGAGACATTTCTTAGGGTGGGGACAAGCTGCGAGCTGTCTCCCCAGAGTGCTGCTCTTCTAAGCCACCAGAGAGCAACACCAGTAACTAGCAGCATCAGCAAGAAGATAGCAGCAAAAGAGACAAACTGCTGCACGCCGCAGGCTTGACAGCCAGAGACAATAGGAAACAGCAGCTTGTTGCTGTACCCGCGGGTACACTGCAAATAGATATTCACAAACAAAGCGACACAGACAACACTCACAGCAGCAATTCCTGCTGCTGTTGCTGCAGCAATAGCTACAGCTGCAACAACTGCTGTAGCATACAAAACAAAAGACAGGCAGCGACTTTCGCACCAGCAGCAACCCAACCCGCACCACAGCAGCAGCAGAAGAAGAAGCAGCAGCAGCATGAGAAGCAACGGCAGGAGCAGCAAGGCTTGTGGTGTACGTACACCTGAGCAGAAGACGCCTGAGGTGCCCTCCTTACAGGGGTCGTCAACAACGCCTGTGCATTTGTCTCCTCTGCTGCAGCTGTATCTAAAATTTAGTTTGGAGGGATCCGATCCCAGCTCTGCACAGAAGGGATGCATATCTCCAGAAGCAGCCGCAGCAGCAACAGCAGCAGAAGAAGCAGAGCTGCAAATCGATGCCCAAGACCACCAACCCCCTTCATCTGCTGCTGCACGGAGGCACCACTCCCCCACCCCTTTGCACTTCTCACACACTGACGGATCGTCGCTAGAAGGCTTCGTCCCTGCAGCAGCAGCAGCAGCAGCAGCAGCCGCAACAGTAGCAGCAGCAGGAAAGACAAGGGGGGATGTAAAAAACTGCAGCGGCACAAACAACACCAACTTTAAACCACCACTCCTAAGGCCCACCCTCATGCTGCTGCTGCTGCTGCTGCTGCTGCTGCTGCTGCCGTTGCGACAGCAACCATGAGGGCTGAGGTACTCCTTATCTGTGGCTTTGCTGCAGCTGCGGTGTACATACACCCGACTGCAGCAGTTGTGCTGGACAACAGCCCAGCCTACTTGCACTTCAGTAGACTCTCTGCCAGCTGACTAGCTAGCTAGCTAGCTAACTATCTAACTATCTAACGACCTAGCTATCTGGCTGACGATCTAGCTGGCTAGTTAACTACCTAGCTGGCTATCTAACTGGCTAGCTAGCTAGCCGACTAGCTAGCTAGCTAGCTAGCTAGGCAGCCGGCTATCAGCAAATCCGTTTAACCCGGGGGAGGCGAGACGCTGGCAGTGAGTCTAGCTACCCAGCTAGCCAGCTAGCTAGCCAGCTAGCAAGCTCCGCAGCTAGCTAGCTGGCTAGCTAGCTGTAGATGGGTTTGTACAGTAAGGCTGGAGCCCGTAGAGCAAAAGCAAAAGGAAGCAGACGAACCAGAGACGCAGAAGCAGCTGTCAGCAGAAGTGGATCCGCTCCCCGCTGTTGCTGCAGCAGCAACAGCAGAAGCAGCAGCATACAGCACGAGAGCGCTTGACAGCAGCAACAGCAGCAGCATCAACAATCGAGACCCAGGTACATAGCGAAGCGAACTTCAGCAGCAGCAGCAAAAGCAGCAACAGCAGCAGCACCTCCTAGCAGTGTCGTGATGGGCGAGCATCGTCAGTAGCAGCAGCAGCAATAGCAGCATCACATTCGCAGCAGCAGCTGCAGCAGCAGCAAAAGCAGCAGCACCCTAGCAACCGCAGCTGCAGCAGCAGCACACTAGCAGCAGCAGCAGCAGCATTCTTACTCTTGTTGGGTTGGCACGGTGTACAGACAGCTGCGCCTTCACCGCTCCACGTGGCGGCGGGGCAAACAATGCACGAAAATCTGCCGACTGAACCAGCAGGCGAATAAGTCCCAGCAGGACACACCTGGCATTTGTTATCCTGCAGCAGCAGCAGCAGCGGCAGCAGCAGCAGCAGCAGCAGCAACGGCAGCAACAGCAGCAGCAGCGGCGCACACGCACGACCTGAAAGGCAAACAGCATTTGATTTCCCTTCAGAAAAATGTTTCATGCAGTGCATTTAATAATCGGATGAAGCTGCTGCTGCTGCTGCTGCTGCTAGCGTGCTGCTGCTAAAGGCCCCTTCAGGCTTTAGGAGCAGAAGCAGGAGCAACAGCAGCAGCGGCAGCAACAGCTGCAGCAGCAGCACATACACGGGAAACAGCAGCAAAACAAGCAGCAGCAGCAGCAGCAGCAGGACGTACGACGTCAAGATATTCTCCGCTGCTGCATTTGGGCTGAGCAGCAGCAGCAGACACGCAGCGCAGTGTCAACCCAGGGTTTAGGGTTTGGAGCTAGGGCTCAGGGTTTGGTGCTAGGGTTTAGGGTTTAGGGTTTGGGGGCTAGGGTTTAGGGTATAGGCTGTTGGATTAGGGTTTAGGGATATGCTTTACAGTGGTTGTTGCAGCGGCGAGCTGCCGAGGGGGTGCAGCAGCAGGAGAAGCAGTAGCAGCAGAAGCAGCAACAGAAGCAGCAGCTGCTGCTATTGCTGCCATAGGGGAAGCAAATGCAGCATCGGCACTCCTCAATGGCCCTTCCTGCAGCTTGTATATCTGCTGTTGCTCTTGCTGCTGCTGCAGCTGATGCTGCAGCTGATGCTGCAGCTGATGCTGCTGCTGCAACGGGTATTGGTGCCGTTCTAGCTGCTTTTGTTGTTGCTGCTGCAGATGCAGCAAGCCATCCATGCGCCTAGGCAAAGCAGCCCGAAGCAAGCCGGGCAGATGCACTTGCTGTTGTTGTTGTTGTTGCTGCTGCTGCTTTTGCTGCTGCCTGGTCCGTTGGTGCTGCGGCTGCAAGGCCGCTGCAGCAGCAGCACTGAACACGTTGGAACCCTCATAGGCATTAACCCCACTTGGGTTTCCTGCTGTCGTTGCCGCTATCGTTGTTGTTGCGGTTGCTGCTGCTGCTGCAGCTGCTGGGTGTTTGTTGTCTGTTGCTGCTGCTGCTGCTGCTGATGTACGGTTTACTGTTACCGTCTGCAGCAGCAGGAGCAGCAGCAACAGAGGAGCATTCTGCATCTCGCGGTTTTGTTGCTGCTTCTGCTGCTGCTGTTGTTGTTGTTGCTGCTGCTGTTGCTGCTGCTGGTCAGACCTCAAGACCTGTGGCTCACGGTGTCTGCAGCACTGCAGCAGCAGCAGCGGCAGCTCCTGCTGGAGCTGCTGCTACAGCCCTTAGTAAGCTGTTTTCAGTGGTTTCTTTCATACCAGCTGGATGTGCATCACTTGCTGCTACTGCTCTCTTCCTGCTGCTGCTGCTGCAGCAGCAGCAGCAGCCCGCCGCTGCTCAAGCCAGCGGTGCTGCAGTGCACGGTCAGAAGCAATTAATGTTTTATGCATTTGTTTGCTGGTGTTAGCATTTTTATTGCAATATTTCACTCAAATAATTCAATTTAAGGGGAGAAACACAGCCGATCTTGCAGCAATAGCAGCAGCAGCAGCAGCAGCTGCTGCTGCTACTGCTGCTCCTGCTCTGGGTACCTTGGAGCGCTTGAGGGACACTACTAAAGTGCTGCTGCTGCTGAGGTGTATATGCAGCTGCTGCTGTTGAAACATAAAATAATTTATACTAGTCATTCCTTTTAATTAGATCAGGGTTTCATTGTCTACCCTCTGGTGTAGAGACAGCCACTCCTGAGGGGCCCTGCAGCAGCAGCAGCAGCAGCAGCAGCAGCAGCAGCAGCAGCAGCTGTTACTGTTACAACGGCAGGAACTGCAACGAAGCAGCAATTGCTTTAACAGCGAAGTACAGCGTAGCAGCAGCAGGGCAGCAGCACAACCCATTCATACTCAACAAGCCCTAAGCTCAAAAACCCTAAACCCTAAACCCTAAACCCTAAACCCTAAGCCTTCTCCATGTGTATATATATATATATATATATATATTCAATACACTGAGTTGGCTGCATACGTAAAACAAACAATTAATTATTGAATTATTTACTAATAAAATATTTATTTATTTATTTATCTGTCTATTTATTAATGTCTGTGAACAGAAATAAACTTAAAAAAGAGTATTGCTGCTGCTGCTATACACCTGAAGAAAGGAGACAGAAGTCTAAAGAACAAAATATATTTTAATTACTGTGAAATCGGAGACAAATGCTGTTAAACTAAAACAAACAAATGCACAAAACTCATTTAGCTGCAGCAAACAGCAAACATCTGCATGCATGCTGCACATAAACCTGCAGCAGTGGTGCTGCTGTTAGTGCTGCAGTGGTTCTTGCTGCTGCTGTTGCTGCTGTTGCTGCTAATACTGCTGGCTCTGGCTCTCGCGTTGCTGCTACGGCTGCTGCTGCTGCTGCTGCTGCCGCGCCACAGCAGCAAATTCATGGGCGGAGATCGAGAAGCTGCACATTTGTGCTGCAATTACTGGTGCTGCTGCTGCAGTTCTTGCTGCTGCAGCGCCTGTTGCTGCAGCTCCTGCTGCTGCAGCTGGCTTGTTTTGCTGTTACTGCTGCTGGACCTGCTGCTGCTGCATTTGTACTTGCTGCTGCAGCAAGTGTTGCTGCAGCAGCACTTGTTGCTACTGCTGCATCTGGTGTTGCTGCTGCGCGAGCTTTTCCTGCTGTTTCACTTCATGCTGCAGGAGCACCTGTCGCTGCTGCCTTACCTTTTGCTCCAGCAGCCGCTGCAGCAGCAGCAGCAGCAGCAGCAGCAGATTTATCTAGAGAGACGGATGGCATTACGCAAGAATTGCTGTGGGGGGTTTTCAAGAAAAGACTGCGCAGCAACTGCATCAACAGTACGCGGCCGAGGAGACCGGGATACTGTTGCTTCAATCACAGCCTGCAGCAGCAGCAGCAGCAGCAGCAGCAGCAGCAGCAGCAGGTGGAGCACAAGGGGGGGAGCAGCAGCAGCAGAGAGAAGGTAAACGAAAAAACACAGAGAAGAACCAAATGCAGCAACAAAAAGCTGTAGCAGCAGCTGCAACAGCAAAACCAACGACAGCAGCAGCAACATCAGCAACAGCAGCAGCCAGCAGCAGCAGCAACAGCAGCAGCGTACCTGACAAGCTGCTACTGCCTTGGTGAGAGTGCGGCCGAGATGAAACTGCTCTCTAATAAAGAAAGCTAAGAAAGCAGCAGCAAACAGATCACCAGCCCCCCCTATAAACCCCTTCTTCATGGGCACTGATAAGGCATACAGCACATCTGCTGCTTCAGCAGCAGCAGCAACCTGCTGCTGCTGCTGCTGGTGGGCACACCGTTGCTGCTGCCGCGCCCGCCGTGAGGCGACAATAAACAAGTAGTCTTCAGCTTTGATCTGCTGTTGCTGCTGCTGTTGCTGCTGCTGCTGGTGGTAGTTGGGGTCTGCTGCAGCAAGGACTTGGTGGGCCTCTGCAGCAGCAGCAGCAGCAGCAAACTGCACTGACGTGAGTACCACAACTTCGGGGCCTTCTTCATGCAGAGCATCGACTGCAGCAAGAACATCGCTCCAGCTATTTAGCTCTACACAAGCGCAGGTGCTGTGTCTCCAGCCAGCTTTCTCCCCTTGCTGCTGCTGCTGCTGCTGCTGCTGGATTTGCTGCTGCTGCTGCAGCTGTTTGCGGTGTCCTAGGATCCACCCTGCTTCAAACTGATTGGGTGTGATGATATCAGCTAGCGGCAGCAGTTTGCTGCAGTATACTTCAACACAGTTGGGGTGTACGTACAGCTGGCCTCCATCACCCATTACGGGGTCGCACAGAAAGATAGGAGACGCTGCAGGGCCTAAGGCCTTCTTAAGGGGCTCTAACCAAGCAGCAAATGTCTGCAGCAGCTCTCCTGTACCTACGAATCCGGAGGCGAGGTAGCGGAAGGGAGGTTCTGCTGCTGCTGCTGCTGCTGCTGCCGCTGCTGCATCCGCGTCTGCTGCTGCTGCTGCTGCCGCTGCTGCTTCAGGCGTCAGAAGCATGAAGCTCTCAGGCTTCAAATGCTGCAACAACACCTTCAGCTTCTCTGCCTGCAACTGGGGGCCCTCGTGTACAAACAAATCTACAAACTGGCAGGTGTATATACACCCCACATCTATGCCTAGCCGCTGCAGCGGGAAGCTGAATGCATCGGCTCCAACATGACCCCTCACTACATGCGACTGCAGCGCCAGAACGCGGCCTTCTGCTGCTGCCATCTTATCTTCCTGCTGCTGCTGCTGCTGCTGCTGCTGTGGCTGTTGCTGTTGCGGTTGCTCCCCAGGAGAAGCAGCGCCTGTGAGTTGGAGAGAAAGGAGGTAAAAGAAAATAAAAATAATTAAAATGACAAAAATGCAGAAAAACGAACAAAGACAAACAATCCTAACGGTGTCTCTGCGGCTGCTGCTGCTGCAGCGGCGGCTGCGGCTGCTGCTGCTGCAGCTGCTGCTCTGGCTGCAGCTGCCGTGGAGCGGCGGCAGCTGCAACTCCGCTTCTTTATTCAATGAAATATCCCCTATGCTTGTTTAAAATAATTAATAATTTAGATTTCAATAAAATTCTTTTTTATTACCACGCAAACAGCAGCACATCCGCGGCTGCCGCTGCTGCAGCTGCTGCTCCTCCCGCTGCAGCAGCAACACAGCAGCAGCTCCTCTGCTGCATTCTGAGGGTCTTCCCCCTCTTTTTTGTGTCTTCTGCTGCTTGAACAGAGGGTAGAAGACTGCAGCAGCAGCAGACACTGCTGCAGCAGCAAAGCCAATGCTGCTGCTGCTGCTGCCGGGGCCCCCCTCTTGCCTTCTGTCGCAAGGGAGCGGAAGCAGGGACCACTGCAGCAGCAACTGCAGCAGAAACTGCAGGAGCAACTGCATCAGCAGCCGCTGCTGCTGCTGCTGCGGCAGCAGCAGCAGAGTCATGAGTAACAACAAGGCCGCCGCAAGGAGCTCCGGCAGCAGCGGCAACTGCAGCAGAAACTGGCTACAGGAGCAGCACAGGCTGCAACCGCAAGAAAGATATCAACAACACCAGCAAGTGCTGCTGCTACAGCAGGGGCAACAACTACTGCAGCAGCAGCTGCTGCTGCAGCAGCAACTGCAGCAGCAGCAGCTGTAGCTGCTGCGATGGGTGTGGGGGTCGTCCCGCGTCTGCTGCAGAGACGAACTGCAGCAGCATGGAGAGCAGCAGCTCTGGAGCGTTTGGCTCTTGGGGTGTATACACAGCGCTGCTGCTGCTGCTCTGCTTCTTCCCCTGCCCTAAACAGCAGCTTCGGCCAAAGGACCCACAGTAACAGCATCATCAGCAGCAGCAGCATCAGCAGCAGCAGCAGCAGCTGTAGCAGCAGCACGCAACTGCCGCAGCCAGAATCCATTTACAGCCGCAGAGGAGACATCAAACTCATTTGCAGGTTTGCGCACGAAAGAGACATCGATGCGCTGCTGCTGCAGCTGCTGGGACCCTCGCTGCAGCAACAGCAGCAGCAGCAACATCAACAACAGCAGCAGCAGGAGATCCGCCGTGATGCTGCTAATGTGAAGGAAAGCGATGGGCAGCAGCAGCTGCTCTCGCTACAGGCGGCGTGTGCATCAGCAGCAACATACTCAGCAGCAGCAGCAGCAGATTCAACAGCAACTGCAGCAAATTCAGCAGCAGCTGCAGCGCCTGCTGCTGCTGCTGCTGCAGTAGCACCGAGCTCCAGGGCGGTCCACCTCAGCAGGGCTGTCTCTCGCGTGCTGCAGCTCAAGGGCTCTGCAGCAGCAGCAGCAGCAGCAGACGCAGCATTCCTGCTTGGCTGCTACGGCCGCCCATGCTGCAGAGACACTTGGCGGCTGCTGCAGCAGCAGGCTATTCTGCTGCTGCAGCAGGGGCAATTCAGCAGCGCAGCAAAAATATGCTACGGATATTTGAACTTGCTGTTCGTACACCGCAAACGCCCAGCTGCTCCACCTGCTGCTGCTGCACCTACAGCAGCAGCAGCAACAACAGCAGCAGCAGCAGCAGAAGCAGGCCCCACACCATACTCAGCTGGGCCCTTGAACTGGGAAGGAGATGAGGAGTCCGCAGCAGCAGCAGCAGCAGCAGCAGCAAATGATTCAGCCCCAGTCGTATCCTCAGCAGCAGCAGCCGCAGCCAATGGGGACGACGAGCAGCAGCAGGCAGCTGCTTTGCTGTTTCTGCAACTGCAGCAGCACGTGCGATCCAAGGCAGCAGCAACTGCAGCAGCAGAGGAAGCAGCAGCAGCGGCAGCAGCAGCAGTTTCCCTCCCCCATGCGACATCAGCAGCACCACCAGCCCAGCCTTCCACATCACCAGCAGCAGCAGCAGCAGCAGCAGAAGCAACACTAACCCCAGCTGAAACTGTAGCAGCAACAACAACCCCAGCAACAGCAGCATCAACAAACCCAGCGGAAGCAGCAGCAGCCCCCGGAGCAGCAGCAGCAACCCCAGCAGCAGCAGCAACAGCAGCAGCAGCACCAATTGCTGCTGCTGCAACCCCCCTGACGTGGGAGGAGGCGATTTGGTATTTGAAGCTGCTGAGCTGCTTCCGCTGCGTGCAGGATCTGCTGCTGCTGCAGCAAATATGCAGGTGGCTCGCCCACACAATGCATGCACTGCAACAGCAACTGCAGCAGCAGCAGCAGCAGCAGCAGCCTCAGCATGCTCTGTTGCTGCCCACAGCTTCCCAGAAGCTCCGGCCAAGCGTGGTGCTGCTGCGCCTGCCGCAGCAGCCGCAGCAGCAGCAGCAGCTGCAGGAGCTGCAGCAGGAGCAGCAGCAAAAGCTGTTGCAAGATGTAGCAACAGTTATTCGCTGTCTTTATGAGTGCCTTCACGTGGATATACCGCTGCTGTCAGCAGCTTGTTTGCTGCTGCAGCAGGGAGCGCCGCTGCTGTCTGCTGCTGCTTGCTGCAGCACCTTACACTGCTTGTCGCTTCTGGGGCACAATGACCCTGCTGCTGCTGCAGCAATAACAGCACATCTTGTAAGCAGCAAACAGCTTGCGGCTACGCCGCTGCAGCAAATGTCGCAGCTGCTGCTGGCAATGCAGCGGCTGCGCTTGAAGGACGACTTGCTGCTTGCTGCTTGCTGCAGCAGCTTGCTTCAGAGAGCCTCCCGGCTACAGCAGCAGCTGCTGCTGCTGCCACCGCAGCAGCAGCAGCAGCAAAGCCGACACTTTATCGCTGTCTTCCACTGTCTGACTGTGGGCGGCGCCTGCAGCAGCTCGGCTCTGCGCCAGCTGCTGCCGCTGCTGCAGCAAGCAGCAGCAGCAGCAGCAGCAGAATCTGCTGTGCTCGCGTGGCATAGTGTTGTCTCTTTAGGGGCCTGGGTTGGCCCTTTGAGGGCCCTTGTGAAGCAGAGGGTCCTTGCACATCTCCAGCAGCAGCAGCAGCAGCAGCAAAAGCAGCTGCAGCAGAAGCAGCAGCAGCTGCTGCAACTGCCCCCGTCTGCCCTGCTGGCAGCAACAACTCTCTGTTATCACCACCTTGGCTTCTACGACGCACCGCTGCTGCTGCAAATTGCTGCTGCTGCAGCCCGTGAGCTGCAGCAGCAGCAGCAACAGCAGCAGCAGCAGCAATCGAAGCATGCGGCTATCGCTGCGTCATTCCTTTGGCGAGCCCTCTACGGCATTCACCACCTCGCAGCAACACCTCGAGACTTCCAGCAGCAGCAGCAGAAGCAGCAGCAAGAACGTGCAGCAGCAGCTAATGTGACACCGGGGGGGCAAAAGCAGCAGCAGCAGCAGCAGCAACAGCAGCACGCTGCAGCAAGGGGGGGAGAAGATGAAGAGCAGCCGCAGCAGCAGCAACAAGCTACTCCTACGCCTATCACCCCCCGCAGCAGCACCGAAGGCAGCAGTAACGACAGTTCCAGCGGCAGCAGCAGCAGCAGCAGCAGCAGCAGGGAAATGTCTGCTTTTGTGTTTTATAGAAACCACTCGTGCCCTCAGGTGCAGCACTCCCCATGGGTGACGGCCCCGCTGTCTCTGTTGCAGCATTTGCTGCAGCCACTTCAGCAGCAGCAACAGCAGCAACAGCAACAGCAGCAGCAAGAGAGTTTGCTGCAGCTGCTGCCGCTGAAGCACTTGGCGCGCAAGAGCAGCAGCTTACACGAGGAAGTTTTTGTCTCCTTGCCGGAAGCAGTCAGATCTGCTGCTGCAGCAGAAGTAGAAGTTGGGCCCTTTGTTGTGGATACGCTCATACAGCAGCAGCCCCTGCTGCTGTGGCAGCAGCAGCAGCAGCAGCAGCAGAAGCAGAAGAAGCAGCAGCACAAGAAGCGGCAGCATGTGCAGCAAGAAAGCGCGCAAATAGGAGACATCGAAAACAAAAAGAAACCAACAAAACAAAAGCACGACTTTCCCGACCTGCAGCAGCCTGCTGCTGCTGCTGTTGCTGCTGCTGCTGCTGCTGCTGGGGCTAAAGAGAGCAACGCTGGAGCAGCCGATGCTGCTGCCGCAGGATTTGCTGCAGGCCTCCGAAATGAAGACACACGGAAAGGTGCAAGAAGAGCCAAGCCGAGCAGCAGCCGCGATGGCAGCAGCAAGAGCAGCAGCAGCAAGAGCAGCAGCAGCAAGAGCAGCAGCAGCAGCAGAGAAGACACTAGACTAGAGCGTTGACATGCGGTGCATTTGTTTGTTTGTTTTTCTGTCTGCGACGCTGCCTAAAAAAAAGAAGACCCTCTGCTTCTTCAATTGGCAGCAGCAAGTTGCTGCTGCGTCAGCAGCAGCAGCAGCGAGTTGCTGCTGCGTCTGCTGCAGCCGCAGCGAGTCGCTGCTGCGTCTGCTGCAGCAGCAGCGAGTTGCTGCTGCTGCTCTCATCTTAAACCTGTGCTATTTGCTACAGCACACGTTGGCTGGAGAAAGGGATTGCGCTGCGGTGTCTAGGGAGCAGCAGCAGCAGGTGCTGCTGCTGCTGCTGCTGTTGTTTGCTGCAGAAACCTCATGACTGCAACAACTGCTCCTGCGCTCTGTCGTTGCTGCCTGCTGCTGCTTCTGTTGCTGCTGCTGCTTGATTTCTTTTCTTCAGAAGCTGCAGTAGCAATGCTGTTGCTGCGGCGTCGTCGGCTGATGCTGCATCCGTTCATTTGCACGGGTAGGGGGAAGCAGCAGGCGCTCGATATCGTTGCTACTGCAGCAGGAGAGCAGCAGCAGCAGCAGCCACAACAGCAGCAGCAGCAGCTTGCGTACGATGCGTGCTGCTAGCGCAGCGCCTGCCTCTGGAGTGCGGCAGCTACCCAACTCTGCTTACTGAGACAGCTAGCTAGCTAGCTAGATATCTGCTAGCTAGCTAGCTAGCTAGCTAGCTAACTAGCTAGCTGTGATATAGCTGGTGTTTTATATTTATTTACTTAATGTGGTTACCTGCGCTGCGCGCTGCAGTCAGAGACGGATATTTAGAGGGCTCGAAAATAGCAGCAGCAGAAGCCACAGCGGGGACCATCTGCTGCTGCTGCTGCTGCTGCTGCTGCTGCTGCTGTTGCTCCTCAAAAGATTTGCTGCTGCTCCTGGTGAACGGCACCTGCTGCTGCTCTTCCTGCCGCAGCTGCTGCTGCTGCTGCTTTTGCAGTGCTGCTGCTGCCTCGACGCTGCTGCGCAGGCTACTGATCTCCTGCAGCAGCTGCTGCAGTAGAGCAGCAGAGACGCATGCTTTGCTGCTGCAGCTGCCCGCTGCTGCTGCACAAATACACGAACAAATCATAACCATAAACTTCCTTCAGCAGCAGCAGCAACCAAAATGACGGCAACAGAACAGCAGCAGCAGCAACAGAAGCAACAGCAGCAGCAGCGACAACAACAACACCAGCCACAACAGCAAGCAAACCAGCAGTAACAAAAACAGCAGCAGCAGCAGCTGCAGCAGCAGCAGCAAACAGTCGATAGGGAGTTGCCTTAGGCCATACCAGAGTCTTGCACTGATCCAGATTCATGCTGCTGATGTTGCTGCTCTTGTTGTTGCTGCCGCTGCTGTTCTTGCTGTTCCTGTTGCTGCTGCTCTTGCTGCTGCTGCTGCTGGGCCTGCTCCCGCTGCTCGTCTTGCTGCTGCTGCCATTCCCGTTCTTCCTCCTCCTCCTCTTTTTGCTGCTGCTGCAGCTCTTCGGCCCACTGCTGCTCCTGCTCTAGCTGCTGCTGCTGCTGCTGTTGTTGCTGCTGCTGATAAGAAGAAGGGGAGCTGTAGGCCGACCAGCAGCAAAGTACAGGTGCAATGAATTCATCCTGCTGCTGTAGCTGTAGCTGTACTTGCCGCTGCAGCTGCTTTTGCATTTGCCTTTCTTGCTGCAGCAGCAGCAACTGCTGCTGCTGCTGCTGCTGCTGTTGCTGCGGCTGCTTCAGCTTTGCATGTCTTATGGTAGCAATAGCATCATAAGAAGTGATAGGGAGGCGCAGGGCTTCAGGGTCTGGCCTAACTTCATAGCTGCTTCTTTCCCTGTCCGTGTTGCTGCTGCTGCTGCTGCTGCCTCTGTTGTTGTTGTTCTTGCTGCTGCTGCCCCTGCTGACGACGATGCCGGGAGACAGCCGTTGAATGTCTCTGTACGTCTGAGTCGCATGCTTGTACCGCTGCGTCTCCCATTGCTGCTGCTGCTGCTGCTGCCTCTGGTGTAGCTGCTGCTGCTGTTGCAGATGCGGGTGCTGTGGGGTGCCTGCTGGCGTGAATTCTGCTGCTGCTGCTGCTGCTGCTGATGAAGGCCAGCAGCCGTAGGACAGAGGGCCCGCAGAGTGCATCAAGTAGGAGGGCATGCAGTTGCTGCTGCTGCTGCTGCTATTGCTGTTGTGCGGCAGCTGAGACTGCAGCAAGGCCATGGTGGGAGGCAAAGTGACTCTTAGGGGCACATCATCATACACCAGCTGCTGCTGCTGCTGCTGCTGCTGCTGCTGCTGCTGCTGATAGGGGAATCTTCCCATGCCGGGAGAGAAGACAGGTTGTGCTTGCAGCGGCAAGTTGCTGCTGCTGCTGCTGCTTCCGAGTTGCGAATAAGGAAACTCTTCAGTGAGGGGATTTGATGGAGCAGCAGCAGCAGCAGCAGCAGCAACAGCAGCAGCAGCAAAATCCCTGTACTCTTCCTGTCGCTCGCTCCCGTCTCCCTGCCATTCCTCCTCATCAAGAGGTGCTGCAGATTCTGCAGCTGCAGTAGCTGCAGCAGCGCTTGTGTGTGCCTCGCTGCTGCTGCTGCTGCTGCTGCTGCTGGGGGGGGCCCCTGCAGCAGCACCTTCAGGCAGCCTGCTGCTTCCTTCTTGTGAGGATGCATCTGCTGCAGGGCTGAGAGAAGGAGATGGTGCATCGACTTCCAGCGGAGAAGCGCAAGCAGTGCTGTTCTCTTCTGCTGCTGCTGCTGCTGCTGCTGCTGCTTCTGCTGGGGTTGTGGACGGCTTTGCTGCTGCAGCATGCCACACCCCAATGTTGCTTTCTAATAGAGTCTCTGACCGCTCAGATGCTGCTTGCTGCAGCTGCTGCTGTTGTTGTTGCTGCAGCTGTTGCTGCAGCAGCTGATGATGGTGCTGCCGGTGCTGGAGGTGCGGCATCGGTAGGAGCTGTTGCTGCTGCTGCTGCAGCTGCTGCAGCTGCTGCAGCTGCTGCAGCTGCTGCAGCTGTTGCAGCTGGTTAATAGGGGGGTAGAAGCTGCAGTTGTCTCTGAATGTAGGGTAAGGCTGAGAGCATTCTTCATATATACTGGGTAGGAGACCAGCTGAGGGAGAGAAGCTAGGAAAGCTAAACCCTCCATCTGCTGCTGCTGCTGCAGCTGCTGCTGCTGTGAGCTGCTGCTGCTGCTGCAGCAGCAGCGGAGGAGGGGCATACAGCAGCGGGAAGCCCGGGTGAAAGGGGAGGCCGTGCTGCTGCTGCTGCTGCAGCTGCTGCTCAACTTGCTGTTGTGATATAAGTTCCTGCTGTAGCTGCTGCTGCTGCAGGTACTCCAGATGCTGCTGGTGCAGATGCTGCTGCTGCTGCTGCTGCAGTTTCCGCAGCTGCAGCAGCTGCTGCTGCTGCAGCGACAAGTCCCTCTGGGCCATCGACAGCGCCGGCTGCACCGTCTAGGGTTTAGGGTTTAGGGTTTAGGGTTTAGGGTTTAGGGTTTGTTTGCAGATACTAGCAAATAAAAACCTCCTGTTTTCAAATTAGTGTGTGAGGCATTTGCTTCCGCTGTTCTTCGTTATTGCTGCTGCACCACCAGCTGCCGCTGCTGCCTCTGCTGCTGCTGCTGCTGCTGCTGCAGTTGCTGCTGCTGCTGCTACACGCTGAAACCGCTGTTATAGGGCCCTTCTTGTGAGTAGAAGAGACTGTATTATTTGTAATTTATTTATTTATTTATTTGTTTTAAATGAAAAAATAAAAAAAGAAAAGATAAGGCAAGCAAATATACCCGAGAGACAAACTGCAGCGACCGTACACCCGACCAGCGGTCTCCTGCTGCTGCTGCTGCTGCTGCTGATGGTCGTGCTGCTGGTCGTGCTGCTGCTGCGCAAGTTGCTGCTGCTGTTGCTGCTGCTGCTGCTGCTGTATTACTTCTAAATAATAAATCGATATAAAAGAGAAGCCCCCCCTTACAAGACAATACAAGCCAGCTGCCACTATTGCTGTTGCTGCTGCTGCTGCTGCTGCTGCTGCTGCTGCTGCTGCTGCTGCTGCTGCTAGGAAGAGAGGGAGGGACTGCAGCAAGAGACGAACAACATGCAGCAGCAGCAGTAAGGCCTCCTGTAGAATTAAGATTTAGAGCCTAGGGTTTAGGGTTTTAGGGTTTAGAGTGTAATAAGCCTAAGAGAGCGGCTAGCCAGCAGTTACTGTATCTATGGTGCGTATATTTTATACTGCGAGGGTTTAGGGTTTAGGGTTTAGGGTTTGGGAGTCATAAAGAGGAGGCATCAGGTGTACGTACACCTCAACACCAGCAGAAGCTGCGAGACATACACCATCTAGGGGGCCCTGTAGTTCTCCTATCTAGCTATCTATCAATCTAGCTAGCTAGCTAGCTACCCAGCCAGAGAACTAGCTCGCTAGCCCCTGATCTAGCTAGCTAGCTAGCTAGCTAGCTGCGCAACCACTGAGGTCCACGCTAGGGGGTCACAAGGGGCCTAGAGAGAGGAGACAGAGACAGCAGCATATCTATGTTTTAATTATTATTATTTTTTGTTAGTTGTTTTGTTTGTCCTGTTGTTTGTTTTTTTGTTTGTTTTGTCTTCGTTTGTTTTATTTATTTTATATACTATTATCATTTCGTTGTTCTCCTTGCACACCTTCTGTCTCTGTAGGGCAAAATATTTAAACAGGAGACAGCTTCTGTCTCTGTTTATATTTAAAGAGGAGACAGCTTCTGTCTCTGTCTCTGTCTCTGTTAATATTAAATGAAGAGACAGCTTCTGACTCTGTCTCTGAGAGACAAAGAGAAAGACCAACAAAAAAGAGCGGAGACAGCAGAGACAGTCTGTCTTTCTCTGTTCTCCTCTGTTTCTCTGATTAAAAGAGACAAAAGAAGGTGAAAGGAGACAAAAGAAGGTGAAAGGAGACAAAAGAAGGTGAAAGGAGACAAAAGAAGGTGAAAGGAGACAAAAGGAGACACTGGAGAAACAAAAGAAGAAACAGAGAGACAGAGACTGTCTCTTTACATTATATATATGCATATATGTACACATTTGTATATACAAATACATATATATATGTATATATATGTATATATATATATGTATATAAACAAAAGAAAGGAGAGACAGGACAGGAGACAGTAGACACCAGAGACAAACAAAAGGAGACAGTGAAAAATAAAAGAATAAAGC